GAAAAAGAAGAGGGGTCGACCAAGGGCAAGATGGATGGATGGCATCCTTGAAGTGACTGGATTGACCTTGAAGGAGCTGGGGGTGGTAATGGCCAACAGGGAGCTCTGGTGTGTGCTGGTCCATGAGATCACAAAGAGTCAGAAACGACTCAACGAATGAACAACAGCAACAAGCATTGCCTGGGGACATCTGGATGTTTTTTTGATGTTTTACCATCCTTGAGGGAGGTTTCTCTCATGTTTTTTGATGTTTTACCATCCTTGAAGGAGGTTTCTGAACTGTGGGGAACTGAAGCTGACAGAGTGAGCTCATCCACGCTCTTCCCAGATTCAAACCTGTGACCTGTCAGTCTTCAGTCCTGCTGGCCAAGGGTTTAACCCACTGCACCGATATATAAGTCCAACTACTATGTTTACAATATTATGAGAAAGCAATAAGGCAGCTGTTTTACACATATTTACCAGGAAGCAACTTTCACTGAACTCAGTGGGTCTTATATCTGAGGAGACATGCATGATTGCACTATGGTTCAATTTTCTTTTTAAAATGTTGATGCCTTCACATGATTTTTTACAGGAAATACTTCTACATAAGCACAGGGCTCTTCATTATGGGAGTCTTGCACTCAAAAGGATATTTTTATAGTAATGTCAGCACAATGAGAGGATTAGATAACTCTGCACTTATTTCTTCTGTCAAAAGACCATATAATTTAAAATAATTTCATTTGACAATTAATATGTGACCTCACTTGTGGTTTTTGCATCACACAGTGTGCATGGCGGCCAGTAATCCTTTAATAAACAACATGCATCATCTTAATAATCATTTGTTGTACATAATTTAAAAAGGGATTTTGATACCTTGTGCAATGCTGCTAAAGTAATATCCAGGATTAACTTCTTGCGAGAGCCTTAACCCTCCCTAAAAGATGAGTAACTAGCTTAGAGTAACTCCTTTCTTTGCTGTCTCTTCTATTGTTGTAATCTTCTTATAGTTAAAAAGTTTTCTCTAATACTTAGCCTAGATCAGCGGTATTCACTCTCAGACCATAGACCACACACTACTGCATACAGCTGGCCTAGATTTTTTTTTTTTGTATTGGAGATTATGCTTTCATCACACATTCTTCTGCAGAGGAAAATCACAAAACCTAAAATTGTGTATATTATTGCATACACTTCAATGAGTTCTATTCACCAGTCACCATCCTATTTTTTGTGTGATTCCCAGCCCTTGTAAATTGCTATTCTTATTTGGACTTTGGGTGAGATCCTGCCTCAAACTGGTTCCAGGATTTCTTATGTACACAACAAATCCACTTTCTTCAAAACTGGTTTGAAACTTTTTTTCATGTCAGGAGTGACTTGAGAAACCGCAAGTCATTTCTGGTGTGAGAGAATTGGCTGTCTGCAAGGACATTGCTCAGGGGATGTCCGGATGTTCGATGTTTTACCATTCCAGATGTTTGCTATTTTACTGTCCTTGTGGGAGGCTTCTCTCATGTCCCCGCATGGGGAGCTGGAGCTGACAGAGGGAGCTCAGCCTGCTGTCCTTGGATTCGAATCACTGATGTGTCCGTCAGCAGTCTTGTCGGCACAAAGGTTTAACTCATTGTGCCACTGGGGGCTCCTGATTTGAAACTAACTTAAGTGATCAGTGTAGGTGAGGCCATATATGCTCATTTTAACATCATCAAGCCCCTTTAAACAGCACGAAACAGTAAGAACAATTATTACATGAGGCAGCTGTAATACAATTGGACTATGAACATTTTAAACACAAGTCAGTCCAATTATTGAAAAACAAAGAAAGCAGAGGGGAAAATGCTACTTATGTGTACTGTTCCCCTCCACACACTAGAGAACAGCTTACAACTTGTCCTCTCTTGTCAATTTACCACTCTTCATAGCTGTAAAATTGAACAGCTCAACGATTATACATATGCTAAATATGAAGAACAAATGAAATACTGATCCATATCATGCCCAGACATATTATATGATTAGCTCATACTGTTCACTGAGCAATACAGGTAGCTATGCAAAAACATTGTCCTTCTGCTTTCCGGTTCATTTAGATGACTCCTTTGATATTTTTTTCTTACAAACATCCTTAGATTGCTCCAATCTGATAAGATGACTGAAACTTTCCTTAACATTCTACCGGTTGTTGGCTCCCACTGACTTTCGCTTTCGTCGCCTACTCGTTGCTACTACTTTTTGTGGTTGATTTTTTACTGTGGGTGGTAGCCTGTTCTGGTCCATGGAGGGTCCTGAAAAAGACCTTCCCCAAGTCCCATCTTGGGCAGACTCCAGGGGAAAGGAATCTGTGCTGTCATCTATCATCACTGATTGGAGATAAGGCTTGAGTTCCTCCACACATCACAGGCAGATCCAAAGTGAGACCCTAAGCTTCACCAGCTGTCACTGCAGCTGAATGTCAAGGCCTCTTGCTAGTGGTAGTGGTTCCCGGCCTGTGGTTCGTGGATCACCAGAGGTCCCCAAGAACTAAAATATGGTCTATAGCCTCACCATTACTACACCATTGCAACAAGAGTGACTATTCTCACAAAACCTTCTTATAATGCCAAGGCAATGGGGATGTCGGGAGGGGGGAGGTTGACTACCCACAAAAGGGACAACAACAAGCTTCCTGACTGCTGCTTTTCCACCTCCTCCCTCTCCGAGCGGAGCCATTTCATGTGGTGCATGGAAGCGGGGGCGACTTGGTGTCTTCGTTTTTAGGCCTGTTCCTTGAGTTATTTGGGGTGCTGATTCAGAAAACTGCATTGGTTAGATCACATCAACTCTAGATTATTAAGCATGGCTTTCTGTGGATGAGAAGATGGTGACTCCTGGATGGAATATGTTCTGCATCAGGAACTAGAGCTGATGTGGTCTATCCAACGCAATTTTTTGAATCAGCACCCCAAATTACCAAATCGAATTTAAAGTTGACCAAAAACTTATTTGTAACCCTTTCGGAACTAATGCTGGAGATTGGTCCCTGGTCAAAGTGGTCCCTGGTCAAGTGGTCCCTTGTAAAAAAAAAAAGGTTGGGAACTACTTTGCTAATGTAAGGAACAGGGACAAGGAGCAAATCCCTGTCTGGAAACTTAGTGATACCAGAGTGTGCATTAATGCTAAGCTTCTGGTGTGATCAGGTCAACAGAGGATCTAAGGGAATGGCATTTGGCCTACTGACCCAAAAGCTTCTTCACTGTGTTCATCAGAGAATGGAGCTCTAAAAAATTATCCAGATCATGTATTTGAGTTTTCCTCTTTCAGAGTTCAAATGCTTCTGTTGTTAGTCACTTGCTCCTTTCCTTAAATACCGAATGAAACGTTTTGCTCTTCCTTTGCTTTTCAGCCATGTCATATTAGTACTTCCATTTTGTGGTTTTGCCTCCCCCCCCCTCCCCCGCACCCCTTGACTCCTACCTGCCTGCATGAAGTAACTAGAATCCGTTTCCTACAATTTGTTCTCAGTGTATATACAAAACTCTCCCAGTGTGGCCATTCATGGCTTTGTCCAAAATTGAACTAGAACTGTTTTCAGATATTTCCTTTCTCAGAAGAGTCTAATTGTCTTCTGCTCCTTGTTCTTTTTCTTCTTTTTTAGATACTGTCCTACATTTTCTCCAATTTCCCATCATTCTTATCTTCCTGAATCAAACTAGGAGTAATGGGGAAATCAAACAGAAAGCTGAAAAGGATGCTTTTTTTTCACTCAAAAAAAGAAATAACGATATTACTTATTCATCATGTTACTTCTTTATGGACAATAAATACTTCCTATTCAGTTTTTTTCTGGATGGAAAATCAAATCTACCCCATATTTCAGTTGTGTACAAAGGACAAATATATTTCTTGAATCTCAAAACCAACTTGCTACATACAAAAGGAAAAATCCCTTCATCAGATCACCACAAATTGTATTTTACTACCATTAAGTGTTTCAGTTCATGTTCAAATACATATCTGAATGATATGATTCATGCTATATTTAAACCTTACTGAGGACATTGTTTCTTTCTGCTCATTTAGGTCGGTCCCATTGAATCATCTTTTGATTAATAAGTCAACACTCACAGCTACCCCATTTATCTAATTGGTAGACTCTATCTTGAACTACAGATAGGATTCAAGCCTAAGATAGTAATCAACACCTACCTGCATGGGTGTAAATCCCATTGTTCTCTTTTGTATTCAGTCTCATTGTAAGTCAATGATATTCACCTCTGATATAGAATTCCACTGTGAAATTATTACTCCTACAGCAATGTGTCAACAATTAAATACTTTTTTGACATCAGTATAGGATTGGAGAATTGAATCCAAGCCAGATGTGAGAGTGATGTTAGACATCTTGTAGGTCTGGACAACTGGGATGTCAAAGCAGGGTTCCTCCCATCCCATGGCAGCCCCATTCAGACATCTGAAAATACTACATGGTTGGAAGGGGACCTTATGGAGAAATATGTGGTGTGAAGGGAAGGGCAAACTGTTTTTGAATTGTGGGAATATAGCCCTTCTGTTCATGGAAGGTAGATTTGGGATCCCAACCATACGCATCTAGTGTTGCCTGGGGGGGGGGGGGGGGGGTCAAAAAGGAAAATGCATTCAAAAAGATAAAGCAGCCACTGTAGCAGTTCAGCAGATTAGAAGCTTCTAGTGCCAGCAGTAGAGCAACTGAGGACCCTTCCAAACAGGCCAAAAATCCAAGAGGAATTGGGATTTTAAATCACACTTCCTCTCAGGATAGAGGCCACACAGCTGGCTTAAACCTCATGCTTTTGCAGATCACCAGGGTTGGGCATGGGCACTGCCAGCCTTCCCTTTCCTGCCTTCCATTTCCCCCTGCACTTACCAGGAAAAGACTCTGACAAAGCCTGGAGCCCTCCGCCCTTGGAACAGCTGAAGGAGGGCTTTGTGTGTGTGTGTGTGGGGGGGGGGGGGGTTCTCTTCCAATGACCTCTGTTGGTTTTTTTTTCCAGGGAGGAGGAACAGAGGCAAAGGCTGCAGACCTGCATGGAAGGTTTCCTCTGTAAGTTGAGATGGAAATGAGGGGGAAGGGGGCAGGAGGGAGTCCAGACAGGGGGGAGAGAAGGAAAACACATGTGTTTCCATGACTACAGGGATACACAGGCATGAAAAGGTGTATGTTTCTCAGGAAGAAGTGAGTTTAAAGGGCAGCTTTTAAACATGTGTTTTCCAACCTTTAACTTGATTCTTCCTGGTTCCTCCTGCATTTGGGATAAACATCATTTAGCCAGCCCCTCTTTTAATCTGGGCTATAATGCATGTGTAAAAGGGCCCTGAGCTTAGCCAGTGCAGGAGCAAAGTCAAGCTTTAGAAGTTACAAAATACTTTGTTCAAAGAACTACATCTCTACATAGGAAGGTTACAGGGTCTAGATATCTAACTAAATAACTCACAGCAGACATATTGCCTCTCCATGTTCACAGGAGAAGGACAAAAGAAGAAAACTTGGAGGACTTGGGGACTTGTTTTATGCTCAGAAAAGAGATGTGTCCCTGAGAAATATCAGTCTAACATGAAAGGTGATAGGAGGAGGAACAGGGTGACAGGGAGACAGAGAGGCCAATGAGGGAAGGGCTTTTCCCTACCAACTAACCCATCTGCCTATCTACTCCTTGATGAGGACTACAAACTTGTGCAGGATGTGGTTGAGTTCCAACATTTATGTGGATCCAAAATGGGAGACAGCAGCTATAAACTTTCCTTATGGTGAACCGCTCTTTTTTGTAATGCCAAGGGAGGAGTGGGATGATCTCATTCCTTCCTTTCCTGGAAACAAACCCCACGTCAAGTATTGGCTGATGCCAGTTTTCCTCATGTTCAGTTGGTAACCTTTGGTGACTCCAGCAAAAAAGAAAGAAGAACGGGAATTAATACAGCCACCTAGGTTGATTGTCTTATCGTTGAAACACTTCTTATTGCCGTATAACACTGTCAATTCAAGATCAAATTAAGGCATATGTCTGCTCTACTTTTCATTGCTTTTTGTTTCTCTGTCCGGATATTAATGACTTGGGACAGCTAACTTGCTCTATAGGCAAGAAACTACTGAACCTGCTGAATTTCTGCCCCTTACAACTCGTGTCAGCATCAGCCAGACCAGAAGATATTAGAACCCTAGAAGCAGTATTACCAAAACCAGGAACGGTGTCCCAAAAGTGCAGTGAAATCCACTGCATCCTTGGCATACATGCTATTTGAATAAATACTTTTCATTGTACTATTTCATATTCTTCAGTTATTCCTGCTGACCACATGACAGTCCCTACTTTATAGTACTTCTCCCTGGCAAATCAGTACTCATATTTGGTTAAAATTTACACGTGCATAGGGGGAAACCTACGTCCTATCAGGTGTTGCTGGCTTTTGAACCTTGGCCATTGCCTGTACCAGCTGGGGCTGATGGGAGGTGAAATATGTTTTTCCTCCAGGTAGTTGACTCCCTGCCATTTCACATGTTGCAACTAGAGAGGTTTATACCGAACTGTTGATAAGCTATCATATTACAATTATATGTGTTATTCAAATAGCACACATTTAATCTGAAGAGCAAACACACACTTGGCTTCTGTGCTACTGGAGGAAAGGCTACTGTAAAGTTAAGAAACAGAGTAGATGTGAATAACATGGGGTAGAATAATGGAATCACAGAATCATGGATTTGTAAGAGACCATAAGTCATCTAGTCCAACCCCCTGCCATGCAGGAATACACAAAGCATTAGTAGATGGTCATCCAGCCCCCACTAAAAACCACAAATGGAGCCTTCATTACACCCCCAAGGCAACATTCTCTACAATTGAACAGCTCTTACTATCAGGAAGTTCTTCCTAATATTCAGGAAGACTCTCTTTTTCCTGTTTTATTAATCCATTACCCTTACCCTTTGCCCTAAACTAGAATAGAAATAAGCCTGCTCCATCTTTAATATGATATACTTTCAAATATTTAAACATGGCTATCATGTCTCCTTTTAACCTTCTCTTCTCCAAGATAAACATAACCAGCTCCTTAAGCCACTCCCCATAAGACTTGGCTTCCAGACTTTTACTATTTTGGTTGCCAGTCTCTGAACATGTTCCAACTTGTCAATATGCTTCATTAATTGCGGTGCCTAGAACTGGTCACCATATTCCAGATGGGGTCTGACTAAAGAGGAGCAGAGTGGTACTATTACTTCCCTTGACATTATGCTTCTATTGGTGCAGTCTAAAATTTCTTTGACTGTTTTAGCTGCTGCATCACACTGCTGACTCACAAGGTTGGGAACTTCCAACCTTCCATGCTCTAGCTATCATCAGCCCCTAGCCAAAATGGCCAATGTTTAGAGTTGGTGGCAACTGAAATGCAACAATACATTGAGAGTCATAGGTGATCCATGTTTAGAGATCACAGCAGAATTTGAAAAAGTTATTTTTTGGAGTATGATTCTGGAAGCTGTCATCCAGAAAAGGAACTTTTTCAAACTATGGTCCATGCAGTTTTAGGTGTGTGTCATGGGAGAAACCAGTATGAGAAATAGAGATGTTGCAAGGGGTTCAATGTTTTTATAATTACAGTACTGCAAAATATGCAATACTGCATTCTGGAATCAAAACTACCAACATTGCCAAAGAGCTTCATGGGTGGAGGAGAAACAGAAGCCAGTGGTGCCTGAAGTGTCACGTGACTCATGAGCTAGACTTGGACTTAGGCTATTTTCCCATGTAACACTAGCAAGTACATTTTGAGATGCCATAGGCCACAATTAAAGATCTAATTGAGATTTGCACATTCGCTGCGGTTTGGAAATGGGTAATATTAATAACCAGCACTTTATATGCTACATTCCGAATGTTCAAGCATTCTTGAGGCATTATGTCAACAACCCTGCCAAGAGGAAGTAAAATGGGTCTGGAGTGTTATGACAGGGAAGCATGCCCTGAAAGGGGGATCAGGATATGCACTACTACTGGATCAAGGCAAGGCTATAGAAAACCCTCCTGAGGAAGCCTGGCCTAGCCCTCATTTTTTTGTCCGAGCAAATACCTTTTTAAAATTCAAACAGATCTTGACAGCTGATGTGCTCATGAAGGGGCTTTTAATTGCTGGATGCTGTACTTCATATTGCTGTACTTTAAAGCCAATTGTGTTATAATATTATAACCTGGGTCATTGTACTGTGGTAATGTTTTTGTATGTTTTACTGTCTGCCTTTTTAAAAAGTTAACCTAAGTGTGAGCTGCCTTCCTACTCTTTAAAGAAAGATGGGCCTTCTAATAAATAAGCTGGTGCCTGGACCAGTCCAGCCAGAGCTCTCTGTTGGCCATCGCCTCCCCCAGCTCCTTCAAGGTCAAGCCAGTTACTTCAAGGATAACATCCATCCATCTTGTCCTTGGTTGGCCTCTCTTCCTTTTTCCTTCCATTTTCCCCAGCATCATTATCTTCTCCAGGCTATCCTGTCTTCTCATTATGTGGCCAAAGTACTTCCTCTTTGCTTTTAATATTCTTCCCTCCAGTGAGCATTTGGGCATTATTTCCTGGATAATAGACTTGTTTGTTCTAGGCTTGTGCCTAGGAGGAATAAAAAAACTAAAGTCTCTCTACCTCTAGGAACACTTCATTAGAAAAACTTCCCAATAGAAGTCTTATCTATAGTCCTAGTTACCCACAACAAGACCACTTGCTTAGCACGCCAAGAGAGATGGCTCAAGTATTTCAAGGAATAATCACACATATTTACATCACTGTGACAGTGCCTTTCACATGGGCTCACAAACTGTTCTGGACTAGAGTGAAGTGGCTGAAAATACTGGCAAGGTTCAAAGAGTTTCCAGGTGCCAGGAGGTCTGTAAGACCAGGTCCGCTATAACATAGGAAAAGAAGCATCACCAAAGAATAAGCAAGGATTTCCAACCTACATGTCTTCCCTAGAGCTCAGCAGAAGCTTAGAACATAGTGACTTACCAAAGGCCACCTAATGAACTTATGAATAAGTGAGATCATGGATTTCCTGTTCTTGAGCTCATGCTCCCAACTACTTTATTACAAATAAGTAGGATGTTCCATGTTTATCAGAGAATCATGTTGATTGGAGCCCACCATATGGGGCCATCTCCCCATATTAGATCAGGTAGGCTCCCAATATCTATTGCCAGTTGATGGGCATTTTCTTGATTGTCAATCCCTAGTGATGTTACTGGTTTTAATGAAACATTTGCATTGTTTCATTATTCTTTTGTTGTTTTATTATCAGATTGTGTAGTGGTTTCTGTGCTTCAGTACTGGAATACTGTAAACTACTTGGAGATGTTGGGAGAATGAAACATGTCAAAGAGATGTCTTAATAAATAAACTTCAGTAAAGACATCACATTAGAGTGAGAAAACAATACCACCCATGGTGATGATGCATGTGTAGAATTAATCTTTCCTTCTTCCTCTTCCAGTTCATGATTATGACTGCAATTATGATTCTGTTTTGCTTTTCTTCTGGGACACTTACATCAGTTTACATAAAGTTCCCAGGCCTCATCCATACAAAACAGTGTCTAATTCTAACACTTACCTTTATGTTGGGTTAGGTCGACTTACATCCCAAGTCATCCTTTCATGCACAATGCAGTATTCTCATACGAACTTCCGATCCTGTTTTTAAGGCACAGAATATTATATTTGGATGTTAATAATGTGTTGAAGTACAATTGACAAGGAGAGATGAAGTATTTCTATCATTTACATTTCAAAGCCAACACAAGACAATATACACCTCTGAAGCAACTGCTTGAACTTGTTTATCTCAAAGATTCATGAGAGAAAAAGGCAGTTGAATTAAAGAACTTCATTATACCTAACTAGGTGTGGCATATTAACTCCCTTTTTTGCGTAACTTGTAGACATTATCAGACAACATTATAATTAATGTGCATTGATATGGCAATGCACTCACCAAAGAAGTATTATGGAAACTGACAGAATGATTCCCAGAGGAGCAAGGTTTATCAAAACAAAAGTGGCAGCACTCTGTT